AAGATGCAAATGAGGCCTTGTCAGCTAGTGAGAGCTCTACAGGTTAGATTGGGAAAGACTGCTCACAGACTTCAAATAATTTTCAAAAGTTATTTGGACACAGTATAGTTTACAATCTTTGAGTGATTTTCAGAAGTTTTTGGGAAATATTTAATGGATATGTCCTTTTTAATGGGCATCTACAAATAATCTAAGTAATAATCCCAATTTACCTAGATAGTTAACCAAGGAGGGTAGACAAATCCTTCTACTGTTATGGTCCAGCTTCAACAGTTCAAAAATTTTTTTTAGAAAATAAAAAAGGGGAAATAATGCCCCCAGTCCCCACATGACTCATCAAATAATACACTCCTCATTTAAAAATTTTAAAATGTGAATGCCAGTGAGCTTCAGACAGATTCTGGCATGATGGAACTTGAGCAACCATTGCTCAGGTCAAATGGAGACATCCATGCTCTAGACAGTGGAGAAGACCCTAATTTGGGGTTGAGGGCATGTTTGTGTTTTCTTGCAGGAAAAGAATAAAGCTTTGGCAGCTGTCAGACCATTTAGTGAGATGCATGGAGCAGAGAAAACCTGGACCTGAGACCATGGGAGCCTACCTAAGCCAGTTTGAGTGAGATCTCCTAAATCAGTGTTCCTGACCCTTGCTGTCATCGAATCTAGAGCCCAAGAAAGAAAGAAACCAGTCGGTTCGAGATTTCCAGTTTCTCAACAGACCTGCTGCATCAACCTTCCGGACCCATGAGTTTTCATCGTGAAGCCAACAGAGAAAAAAGGACCCATTTAAAGCATTTGGACATTGGTATGGACTATGATGAGTGGCAAAAGCCTCTTTTCAGTATTTGAACAGGACATGGTCACTTGAAATATCAGACTTAATGGTTCCTGTTTCTGGAATCACGACTAGGCCAGTGTATTTTTCTGGAGAAATGCAACTTGTCCTAATGTGACAACTATTGTTCATATTTTTCATAATGCTACATGTGTAGCATCAATGATTGTGCCCAATGTATCTGTGCAAGTGCACTTTCTAAATGCTTTCCTGAGCAGATCTTGAAACAATTGTAAACTTTATCAAATTGTAAATGTAAATCACATGCGGGTTACCCTTGTAACAGAATGTAAATCACGTGCATGTTAGCCTTGTAACAGATGAAGGCTGGTAGAATGTTATGGCCCAGATCTGGTGATGGGTATGGTGATGGAGAGGCGCTATGTCAATGGGGGTCCTGGAAATGGTGGCAGTGGCAGTAGGCATTCTGGCTTTATGCCGAGCTCAAATGTGCCTTGTTCCAGAGGCAATAGATCCGCAACCAAGTATTGCTTAGCTTAGCCCATGGCAATCCCGATAGCCATGAAGGTTGGTTACAGATGATTTAAGGTTGGGGTGTCTCCGACGACGGGCAACCTTTGGGAAGACCCCTCCCACCTAAGACAGGGGTTCAAGGTCCCCCAAAGACGGGAAAGGGAGGGTGACCCTACTTGACTTAAGCCAGGAGTGCCTCATTTGAAAATAAAAAGGGGTGAATTGTGGGAACACCAGACCTTGAGCAGAGACCCACTTCCCCTTCTGCCTGGGAGTAGGCAGCTGTAAGACAATGTTTAGTAAAAACATGTTTACTAAAAACGATACAATGCCCGGGGCAATAAGTTCCTGGAAAAGGCCTTCCCACGGAAACCGCCCTAACCTCGACCTTGTCCAAAGACTAACCGCACCTTCAAAACCCACACACATCCACCTCTGGGGGCAGAGCAGAACCAGCCAGGGTAGAGGAGAGAGCAGAAGCTTCTCTGGTGGGAGCTTTTCTTCGGATGTTTTCTTGAACCTTTTTTGGAGCCTGTTTAAAGTTTTCTTTACATCATTGAACAAGTCTCTGTGTTGTCAATCCCTGACACCTTCCGCACATTCTCGGACACAGGCCGCACAGCAGATGTGACAGAGGAGCTTTTATGATAATAAAAGTTGTCAGGATAAGCTTTCTAGAGCCATGGCAGTGCTTAACAAATGGAAGAAAAACCAGGACAAAGCTCACTCTGTAGTTTTAGAGAGCTTTCTAAAATGCATACACACACATATATGAAGAGGTAAATGGAGTTACCCTATGATAGAAGCATAATACCCCAATTAGACAGCACATGCTTCCAAAGGAAAATCTCAAACCAGAAACAGGCTACCACTTTTTGAGTTTTAACAAGTAGGGTCCCTTAGACCCCCCAAAACATTACAGACTTTTGCCAATCCTATTTGTTTTACTCCATAACTTTGCAGTAAGACCCTATTGCTGGAGATATCACATACTTGAGTCTTAGACTATGAAGAAACCAAGTTGGCACTCAGCTGGAAGCCTCATTTCTACTAGCCAGCTCTAATGGTGCTGGAGGCGCTATGCATGCTAACAAAGGATAAAAGTAATCACTAATGTCACTCAGTTGTGGGCGTAGTGAGCTATCTTAATGGCCTGCCTTGCAGACACACCACTGGTGCAATAGTGGTATGAATTTTATGGAAGTAACCAACCACTTTATTGGATTTAAGGCATGCTCCATGAGATGGTATCTATACCTAACACTGTCAACGAGGCCAAGAACTTATTTATGGTCATAGCATCTAAGGAAAAAACTACAACTATTATTCTGCTAAATAGACATAACATTCAAAATGACTACTTATGACTTATTGTTACGCCTATAGATCAGTGTATCTTTCAACCCTTATTAGAGAAACTTCTTACAGCAGAGGACAATTAACCCAAAAACCCTCAACTGGTCAAGGCACAGAGACTGGAGTGCTCAGTCTTAGATGGGACATCCATATCACACCTCTCTCCTCAGGGCTAAGGGATCTATGTGGAAGTGAGGGCACGAAGGTTTTAAGAGTCAGAGGTTGTGGATAACTTCAAGGAAATGATTTCCACACGCATCAGGGCAGATGTACATACGAACTCACAGCAGTTGTGACAGCGTGTATTAGACCTACAGAAGCTCAAGGCAGACAAAATCCCAGCATGGAGGAGGGGAGGTGGGTACACAGTCCCACCCATGGCTGAGGAGATGTTTAGTCATGTTCTAGAGGGATAGAAACAATGCCTTTAAAGTGATGACAGCCAAATCATACCTGCTGTAGGAAGCACAGCTTAGAGTAAGCATTGGAGAAACCAGGCTTGTCAATCACACAGGCCTAGCTTCTTCAGTGGAAGGAAATGAATGATACCTGGTCACCGGGAACACCGGAGTGGAATTAGTCAAACCACCTGGTTATCCTTTGCTATTCTATTGGCATCTGAATCCCCTCAGTATCTGGAGAATTGTTTAGGCCTTAATTCTCAACCTCATCTCTCAGCGAATAGAACCCATCCCCATGAAAGACGTCCTGTGTACTTTGCATCCTTCACCAATAGAATCTATCCTGATGCTGATCACAGACCCTCCCTCTAGGCGCTATCCCTGACCTTGATTTATCAGCCAATAGAACTCCTTCTTATTGTAAAGGTCACAGGTACTCTACTATGTTGCTAGGGACTTTAGATGTAGCTCAGCCTAAAACTTTGTTGTGATGACTGTCATATGGAAACCCTTTTCAAAAGTTTTCCTATGCTTAAAGTGCAATGCATGGTGTAGTGACATATGGTCACAGGGTCCCTGGGCTGGCTACATATCTGCGTGAAATGCTAGTGGATGGATCTCGCTGGAAGACAGGAGGTGGGATCAGGATAATGCCAGGATATCAACCATCAACATCATCAACACCACCCAACACCACCACCATCATCATCATCATTAACCACCATCAACATAATTAACCATCATCATCACCACCACCACCACTATAATCATCATCAGCACCACCACCACCACCATCATCATTAACCATCACCACCACCATCATCATCATCACCATCATCAGCAGTAGTAGCAACTGGGAAATCAATGGCAAGCTAAAGTACAATTCTACCAACGTTCACCCCTGGAGAAGAAATGATTGTGTCAGACTTACTTACAGAGAATGGATGAGGGCATTTGGGGCAGGAGATTAGTGACCATAAAGAAGCCGTGTTGGAGGGTCTGCACCCAGCTGGAATGATGGCGTCTCCCATGGCTGTGCAGATGTAGTCCTTCCCCTAATTATTCCTGTCATATATACTCTAGCCTCCCTCAGAGATCCTGAGGCCGTTTGCAATTAGGGTACAACAACGTGCAGTGGGTTTGGAGGAGTGATGGAGTGTAATTAGTCAGCAAGCTCAGACTGGAGGGTCTTCTGTGATCAGGCCCAGCAGAACTCCTGAAGAAGGTGAAAATCTGGCTTGGAGGCTAGTCCTGTGTAACACTGTTGTACCAAGAAAGCAGACACCTTGCAGTCTAGAGGCCTTGACAAGTGTCAGAAGAGAGACCAGGGCTGAGGGTGTGACTGTGCAGAGGACAGTCCTGGCCAACGAGCAGAGCGGCCCTCGGGCTCCTGTGCAGCAGTGACACCGGGTGACACTTGCTTCACATGTAGCAGCAACGAAAAGCTTTCCTCCTCCTTTTTTTTTTTTTTTAAAGAAACTGAATTCAAACTTGTGGAAAAATATAATTCTTTCATACACTTTCTGGTTCTTAGATTTATTTTTTTTTACTAAAGTCAGTAAAAAAAAGACAAAGTCTATTAAAAGAAACCAAGGTCTTCTATTATCTCTTCAAAAGATGAAGGATCCATCCATCTTCTTTTTTCCAACTATAGGGAGAAGAGAGAGATTTCTGCCCCCTCTACTTCAGTCAACATAGTCCCCCATGTAGACACTATAGCTGTTTCCAGTCCCCACCCACCAGCAGGCTTTTGAGGGATGGTATTAGGGAGCTGGTAAGACACTTCTACTGACAGGTGAGCCCCAGCTATGATTAGAGCCTGGATCTCCCGGGCAAGTCCAGGGACAGCTTCTTCCATGACGTGATTAGTCCAACAGTACAGTACACAGGCAGGATAAAAGCCTGTGACCCCGACAGAGTAGGGAGGGATGGCAATGGCACTCAGGGCAAAGGCAGATGTGTGGCTGGCAAGACCCTGGCAGTGCCTGCCCAGGACGAGGGCACTGGGCACCACAGCAGCACTGGCCCCCAACACACTGCGGCCCTTTGAAGCCATACCGCAGTACTCCAGAAACAGGTGGCTGAAGATGCTACAGATCCTGAGGGAGGAGGGCCAAGAGGGCCTGCACCTGGAGATGCATGAGGCCTTCCGGGAGCTGGGGCCCATTTTCAGGTGAGGGTCTGCTGGGCCTGTAGCTGAGCATGGACGGAGCTTCCTGGGCCCCTGCTTGCTGAGGTTCTGCAGGGATGTGGGGCTGCTGCCCTCCCCAGTAGGCACCAGGCACCCCCTCCTTAGGAAGACAGGGAGGGACCACAGGAGGTTATGAGCCTGACTCATGGAGACCATGGTTCTCCACATGGACACAGAAAGGCACTGTTCCTCACTGAGAGGACAGAGTCCCAGGAGGGCTGACGTGGAGAGGAGTCAGGCAGACAGTGGGAGAGCCCTCCTGGAGGGAAAGCAAGGGCCAGGAGAGGATGAGGCCAGGGAGCACACAGACAGGGCTGTCTGCAGGGTGCTCAGGGGGAGGGCATTCCACCCACAGGAGGGCCCTGTTTTCACCCCATAGGTACAGCATGGGAAGAACACAGGTTGTGTCTGTGATGTTGCCAGAGGATGCCGAGAAGCTGCACCAGGTGGAGAGTATGCACCCTCGTCGGATGCACCTGGAACCTTGGGTAGCCCACAGAGAACACCGTGGCCTGAGTCGTGGAGTGTTCTTGCTGTGAGTGGTCACTGGGGATGAGGAGGGAGGAGAGATTGGTGGCCCAGACACAGGTTGCAGATCCTGCTTGGGTGGGAGTGTGGAGGCCAGTCATTGGCAAGCGTGGGATGGCACCATGCCACGCAGACCCTGGACCCGAGGAGAAGAGAGGCGGCCGAGGAATGCCCCGTCCCAAATCCCTGCTCTGAATGGGCCTTTTCAGCGTGTAGTTGCCTCAGGAAGGGGAGCCACTGTTCAGGGCCATAGCTGGTCTCTGCCACAGCCTGATGCCCATCAATACAGTCTCCCTTTTGTAGGGGCAATTTCACCCACAGAGGTTTGAGGTAGACAGTTCTGGGGATGAAGAAGTGGAAAATAGGATGTTGGAGCTCCTGTGGGCTCAAAGTCAAACGCCGCTCAGGGAAGAGAGAGGAAAGTTCCCTCTTGTAGCTGCATACGTAGCTGGAGAGCTAAGTAGGAATTCCTGGTGCTTGGGGTGGATAGGCTGCCACGAGGTCACCAGTGGGTGTGGAGAAGCCTACACGGGGAAGTCAGGCTGCACACAGGCACACCAGTCCATGCCAGAGTGAATCCTTTGCTGATAAAGTAGTTTTGGGAAATGGGCATGTTGGTTATGCAAGTAGCCGAGGGACACTGGCAGAGAGGCCAAGTGCAAATTGTAGCTGTGGGCAAAGTGAGAGCATGTGCCTCTGAGAAAGCAGGAAGCCTGTGTGTGTGCATGCATGCACCAGTGTACATTCTTACATGTGTGTAAATGTGTGACCACACATGTTGCTTACATAGGAAAGTGTGTGTTGTCTGCATCTGTGACTCTCTGTGTGTCTTTCCACCTTTGTACTAGTCTGTTGGCTTAGTTTTGTACACACAGGAACTTAGGTGTCACACAAGTTTTTGAGGTCCTGTGTGAGTGCATGTGTGCATATACATGTGCTTATGGCCACTGTCAATTGTTGCAGGTTTTAGCACACTGGAGGACAGGCTAATGTAATCTCTCTCTCTCTCTCTCTCTCTCTCTCTCTCTCTCTCTCTCTCTCTCTCTCTCCCTGTCTCTCTCTCTCTCTCTCTCTCTCTCCCTCTCTCTCTCTCTGTCTCTCTCTCTCTCTCTCCCTGTCTCTCTCTCCCTCTCTCTCTCTCTCTCTCTCTCCCTCTCTCTCTCTCTCTCCCTGTCTCTCTCTCTCTCTCTCCCTGTCTCTCTCTCTCCCTCTCTCTCTCTCTCTCTCCCTGTCTCTCTCTCTCTCTCCCTGTCTCTCTCTCTCTCTCTCTCTCTCTCTCTCTCTCTCTCTCCCTCTCTCTCTCTCTCTCTCTCTCTCTCTCTCTCTCTCTCTCTCTCTCTCTCTCTCTCTCTCTCTCTCTCTCTCCCTGTCTCTCTCTCTCCCTCTCTCTCTCTCTCTCTCCCTCTCCCTCTCTCTCTCTCTCTCTCTCTCTCTCTCTCTCTCTCTCCCTGTCTCTCTCTCTCTCTCTCTCTCTCTCTCTCTCTCTCTCTCTCTCTCTCTCTCTCTCTCTCTCTCTCTCTCTCTCCCTGTCTCTCTCTCTCCCTCTCTCTCTCTCTCTCCCTCTCTCTCTCTCTCTCTCTCTCTCTCTCCCTCTCTCTCTCTCTCTCTCCCTGTCTCTCTCCCTCTCCCTCTCCCTCTCTCTCTCTCCCTCTCTCTCTCCCTGTCTCTCTCTCTCCCTCTCTCTCTCTCTCTCTCTCTCTCTCTCTCTCTCTCTCTCTCTGTGTATGTACACGTCAATCACTGGAGAATCTCCATGGGAACCCTGTGCCCTGGGCTGTGGTTTGTACATGTTGTAAGTGGTCCTCTGCTGTGGCCCCTGCCCTAGGGAGGACGAGATCCCTTACCTGAGACAGCAGAGGCTGGTGACTCAGAGACCACACATTGGACAGACTGACAGGGTTGGTGAGCTCAGCTGGGGCTTCTCCTCTGTGGGGAGGTGGTATAGGCCAGGTGGGCAGAGCTTGACAGCACAGTGTCCTTTCTCCATGGCTGTGGATGTGCAAAGTCCTCCTTAGACTCAGTGATCTCTGTCCAGGACATGGAAGCTGTGTTTGTAGAAAGAAGTGTGGACAGGACCAGCGGAGCCTGCCTCTGAGCCTGACACGCCTTTCCCAATTTCTTTGAGGGTTAGAAAGATGGACACGGGCCTGGGCCAGGCCTATCCTAGGAGGTATCTGTGTAGCTCTGTTCTGTGTCCTGCAGAAATGGGCCTGAATGGCGCTTCAACCGACTGAGGATCAACCCACACGTGCTGTCCCCAAAGGCCGTTCAGAAGTTTGTCCCCATGGTGGACATGGTAGCACGGGACTTCTTGGAGTCCCTGAAGAAGAAGGTGTTTCAGAATGCTCGTGGGAGCCTCACCATGGATGTGCAGCAAAGCCTTTTTAACTACAGTATAGAAGGTGTGTGGCCAGGGCAGGATCCCAAATTACGGCTATCAGGGAGGGAGTTGTGGGGAGGGAGACAGGAAGCAGTTTGGAGGCCAGGGACTGCTTTGTCCCAGGGATACCATTTTTTCTTCAGCCAGCAACTTTGTTCTTTTTGGGGAGCGGCTGGGACTCCTTGGCCATGACCTGAGCCCTGCCAGCCTGACGTTCATCCATGCCTTGCATTCCGTGTTCAAGACGACCCCACAGCTCATGTTCTTGCCCAGGAGCCTGACTCGCTGGACAAGCACCCGGGTGTGGAAAGAGCATTTTGAGGCCTGGGATGTCATCTCTGAGTATGGTGAGGGTCACTGAGGCAGGGGGCAAAGTTCATCTCCTTACCATCCACCCGTACTTATGGCTACACCAGGGTCATCTCAAATGACAGCGACTGCTGCTTCCCGATCTTTTAATATATTCCTACCGATTCTGTGGCCGAACTGACCCAGATACAGTGGGAGAAGAGCAGGGATTGTCGTTGGGCGCGAGAGGGGGACTCACGACGGGACAGCGGGAGCTGCCTGCCCTCAAGCTCCCACCTCACATCTCCAGTCAACAGATGTATCCGGAAGGTGCACCAGGAGCTCAGACTTGGCAGCCCTCACACCTACAGTGGCATCGTGGCAGAACTAATGTCCCAGGGAGCTTTGCCTCTCGACGCCATCAGAGCCAACTCAATTGAGCTCACCGCTGGGAGTGTAGACACGGTCAGGCCACCCCGGTGGAATCCCCTGTGACTCCCTGTTTGTATCCTCCAAAGCACTTCCTGTGAGCTGCATTCCCAGGTTGTTTCTGCCTGGAGCCTGTTGGCCTTCCCTGAAGGCCCTACCCAGAGGTGATGGAAGAGGGGAATCTTCAGGTGAAGGCTTAGGCGCAGTGCGGAGATCAAGAGAGCTCACGACAGGGCTGGAACTGTTTGCAAGCAGCATCACAAAGCTCATGGGGGTGGCTGGCTGGCTAAGGCAAGAGACAGGGAGACAGATGACACCAGTAGGGGTGAGGGCCCCATAAGGAAGGGTCATGCATCAGGCCATGGATCAGATGAATACGAATTAGCATGCCCAGGTGGAGCATGGGGGCAAGCTAGGGACCTCAGCAAGAGACTTAAGAGGCTGTTTCTGTAGGCTGAGCCATAAGGAGGAATTCTGGACATAGGGGCTCCGGGCTCACTCTGGGGCTTCTCACTGATGTGCAGAGGAGGCTGTGAGGGGACCTAGGACCCATTTCAGGCTTGAGCATTGAGGCCAGTGCTGAGGAGCCTGTGGATGGCAATCAGTCACTGGAAAAGGCAGATGTGAGTGGCAGGGTCCCTAAGTGACAATGAAGGCCCACCCCAGTGGGTACCAGAGCAGGCTCTAAGCATCAGACCCTTCAGGTGCTGAGACTGTGGCCAGGACTGAAATGGATTTAGGGTTATGGTTCCAAGAGTCCTATCCTGCTCTGGATATGCACTTCTCCCAGAGAGGGGCATCTTTTTGTAGTAGGGGTTCCCTTTGTGGAGGACTAGGGACAGTGTCTGAGACTTCTCTGGCTCCTGCAGACAACCTTCCCCCTGGTCATGACTCTCTTTGAGCTGGCTCGGAACCCAGATGTTCAGCAGGCTGTGCGGCAGGAGAGCCTGGCAGCTGAGGCCAGCGTGGCTGCAAATCCCCAGAGGGCTATGTCGGATCTGCCCCTGCTGCGGGCTGTCCTTAAAGAGACCTTGAGGTGGGTGCCGGCTGCCCTTTGCCTGCTGCCTTGCTTTCCTGCTCTCTTTTCTGGGGCTGGGGAAGCCCTTCATAGCTGGGGACAGTTCTGCTGTTTCCTGCCTCCAGGCTCTATCCTGTTGGTGGCTTTTTGGAGAGAATTCTAAGCTCGGACTTGGTGCTTCAGAACTACCACGTCCCTGCTGGGGTGAGTGATCCTCATATGCCCCCGATTGCCCTGTTCTGTATCACCTCAAAGAGGCAGCTGACCTCGCCCTTGGCATCTGCCCACAGACATTGGTCCTACTTTATCTCTACTCCATGGGCCGAAACCCTGCAGTATTTCCGAGGCCCGAGCACTACTTGCCCCAGCGCTGGCTGGAGAGGAATGGGAGTTTCCAGCACCTGACCTTCGGCTTTGGGGTGCGCCAGTGCCTGGGGAAGCGCCTGGCTCAGGTGGAGATGCTCCTCCTGCTGCACCATGTGAGCAGCCCTGGGAGGGGGCAGTGGGATGGGGGCGCTGATGGACAGTATTTGAGCTGAAAACACAGGCCTTGATATCCATCTGGGCTTCCTGTGTTTAGTGAGGTCTCCAGAGCCTGGCTAGGCCCTCGGGGCCCCACAGGAGGTCCCCTTTGCCGCATGGTGGCAGCACTGAGCGGCTCAGCAGGAGCTGGGCCAGAGCTCTGCCCTGCTGAGGAGGTCGGATGGAGCTCCCCCCTCCCTGTGTTCCAGGTGCTGAAATCCTTCAGGGTGGAGACGCAGGAGCGAGAGGATGTGCGGATGGTGTACCGCTTTGTTCTGGCGCCCAGCTCCAGCCCCCTGCTCACTTTCCGGCCTGTCAGCTAGTCAGTCAGCTTTGCAGCTGGGGTCCCAGTCAGGCCAGCAGCTCCCTCCTGTCCTGACACCCAAGGGCGCACTTCTTTGCCAGCAGGATGTTGTTTTGGGCCCACACTGTCATCCATCAGCACTTGTAGAGGATTCACAGCTAAAGACCTCCAGGGTCAGGAGTTGCAAGGCCAGGGAAGGGACTGGGATGATCTTGCAGGTCACGAGCAGTCCCTGCCGGGTGATTTCACCCATCCTTTCCAACAGTCACTCCAGCCACCTGTGGCCTTCCAAAGGCCTCAGAATAAAGCCAGAAGACAATGCCTTTCTTTATGTTCTCCATTATTGTGACATGAGCCACAAAAATACATCCTATGTTTACACACACACACACACACACACACACACACATGCACACACACGTGTTTGTGGTGGGGGCAGATATATAGATGTTATATGTAGATATAGATATATAGATAGGCAGATAAATAGATATCGCTGTGTTTTGGTTCAAGTGGCTTGACCATGGAGTTGGAACATATGAGCTGGTGACTCAGTAAAGCGTGTGGGGACATATGCACTGGCTAAGGACAGGGTAGTCGTGAGACCAGAGATGCAGGCAAGAGGACTTTCTAGAGCCCTGATAATGTCTCTACGAGGATGGTAGTCTTCTTCCAGGAGGTCAAGGTGCTGACTGACTTAGACCAGTGTCCCTTGGACCAGAGGTCAGTCTTCTGCAAGCCATGAAAAGAAGTTGGGGAATTCTTTCCCTGTTAGATCCTTCCCTCAGTTTTCCTCTTGGTTGTGAAAAGTAACTTCTGTTGTTGAAGTTTTTTCCCATGAAGGTCAGGGCCAAGGAGTAGGACCCGCTAAGCAGAGAGCACCTGTGGCAACTAGTCCCCTAACACCAAGGAAAAGGGTCTATCTCATGGCACTATTGTGGGGTGGGTGGGATTTTACGGGGTACAGCTCCCTGGAAGGAAGTCTAGGCTTTAGGGGTGTTTCTTAAAGGGACTGTTAGGATCTGGGGCTCAGTCTTCCATTTCCTGAGAATCACAAGGAGAGCCGCCTCCCCTGCCTGCCCTCTGCTCGTGACCTGCTGCTCATCACAGCCTCTCAGCAACTGGCCTGTGTGTTATAATTCTTTAATATCAATATTTTTTAAAATTAGGACACAAAATGTTGGTTCCATCATGGTGTTCTCATACATGTGTACTTCATGATGGCTAATCTTGATTTCCACTTAGAGATATGTCTCTGTACCTGGGATTCACAGAGCTCTGAGATTTAAAAGCTCTGCATTTAAGGGAGTGACAAGAACAGGGCGTTGGTGGTGCATGCCGTTAATCCCAGCACTCGGGAGGCAGAGGCAGGCGGATCTCTGAGTTTGAGGCCTTCATGGTCTACAGAGTGAGTTTCAGGACAGGCTCCAAGGTTACACAGAGAAACTCTGTCTCTAAAAATCAAGAGAGAGAGAGAGAGAGAGAGGAATATTGTTTATCCATACTGAACATACTCAGACAAAAATTACAATTTTTTTTTCATTCACAGTCACTCAAAATACCCCTTAGTAATACTAAATGAAGTTAAAAGTGACAACAATAAAAATTACAAAAAAAAATCGAACAAGACCCAATATTACTGACCTGTGTTTAGAATTTCTCCCTGAGTGCCCATTTTGCTACTTACCAAGTGTTGCTGTGTTATGTTTTCATTTCCTTTTGGGTCAAGGTATTTCCTGATTTCCTAACTCCTTCTTAACTATTGGTGCTCAGTATGTGTTTACCATGTTTTTTGCATTTGAGAATTTCCACTTTTACTTGCAGCTTTTTCTTCTAGCCTTGCTTTCCTTTGTGTCTGTATTGGTGTTCTTGATCTTGGACTGTGAGCCTCTGTACAAATATCTAGTTGAAGCCTCTTGGGCTATGAATTTTGTGTGAAGCAGTTTATACAGGCGGCTGCACTGACTGTCATGCATGCCATGTTGTAGGGGAGCAAAAACAAAATCAGTCACTACTTTTCATCTCTTGCCATCTGGGCACTGACTCACCACTCCTTACACCGTAGTCAGTCTCTAAATAAAGTCACTTCTCATCCTTCTACATAGCAATTGGGTAATGACACAGCTTTGGGTTCACAAACAGAAATACAGCAAACTAAAAAGAGCTATAGGATCCCAAGGAAACAACCAGTGGCTATAGACACAATCTAGAGACTGGAAGGGAAAAAAATCAAGGCACACATTTTATAAGCCTTTCATCCTCATGTAAGACATATACCTCCCAAAGTGTCACCCTCCAAAGACAGCGCCACCAACTGGGGAGTGTTCAACCAACTCAATTAGCAAGAAAACAAACGACAGGGTTAGCAAAGGATCTGAGCAGATATTCTTAAAAAGAAGACACAAATGACAGTGGGAACATTAAAGACGCTTAACTCCACTAGTCATCCAATTCAACCCACTGTGATGTTTGTGAGAGTGCCAGTTATAAAAGAGAAAAAGATCCCAAGCACAGAGAAGGGAGGGCGGAAAGGGACCCTCTGTATTCTGTTGGTGGGTAAGTAAATTGTCATAGTTACAGGGAAGAGCAGAGGCACCTCAGAAGTCAAGACCAAAGTCCTCATGCATGCAACAGTCTCACAATTTACACTCAAAGGAAACAATGTTTTTTATGTTAAAGGGAGTTCTTCCTCCACCGTAATTGTAGCATTGTTCACAACAGAGCACTTAAATTAGTGAGTAAAGAAAACGGTCCAAGCCAGGTGTTGGTGGCTCATGTCTTTAATCCGAGCAGAGCAGAGCAGAGCAGGCAGATCTCTGTCAATTTGAGTCCAGCCTGGTCTACAGAGTGAGTTCCAGGACAGCCAGAGCTATGACACAGAGAAACCCTGTCTCAAATCCCCAACAAAAAAAGAAAGAAAGAAGAAAAGAAAACAAAACTGTCCATAGATAAGGAAATACTCCTTAAACTGAGCAAAGAGGGGAAGGAAGCATGGCATTTGCATCAGCATGGAAGGACCCAGATCGTATATATTATGTTAAGGAAAACAAATGAAGCCCAGGGACACTAAAAGTGGGCATATAAGTAGGCGAGCTGAGGAGAGCTATGCTCACAAAAACAGGAAGTAGAAAGACAGTAGAAACCGTTGGTTGGGGGCCTTGGGACAAGGCAATGGCTGACCAAAGGCACATAATGTCAGTCAGCAGAGAGAACAGGTTCTAGAGACTGACAGAACATCATGGTAGGACCATCCAGTGTCATCATATGTTGTGCTGTGTTATGCTGCATGCCTACAAATTGCCAAAGGTCAGACTAACTTCTTACCACAAAGAAGTGCACGCGAACTAAGTATGAATATTAGCCACACTTTGTGTTCCTCTTTATCAGAAAATCAGATAAAAGCAACTTGAGGGAAGTGAAATTATTTCAGTTCATGCCTTAAAACTGTTGAGCTTCATTCCTGTTGCTGTGATAAAGCACCCTAACCTAAAACCAAGAAAACAACAACAACAACAAAAACAAAAAAATCATAGGGGATGAAGGGGTTTATTTTAGTTTAGAATTCCAAGCTACAGTTCCATTATTGTGGAGAAGTCAAGGCAGGAACTTGAACCAGCTGGTCACACCACATGCACAGTCAAGGTAAGAGAGAAACAAACGCACACATGCTCACCTGCTTCCTTTGGTGCTCATCTTGATCTCTCCAATTTTATACAGTGCAGGACTCCCTGCACTAATGGGCTGGATCTACCCACATCAATGAATTTAAGACCTTCACTCATAGACATGCCCACAGCCAAATGCAGACAATTCACCATGGAGACCATCTTTCTGGTGACTGTAGATTGCGTCCGATTGACAATTACAGACAGCTATCACAAGAGACACAGACACTGAGGTAGGGAAGGCGGGAGGTAGGTGACTCCATGCTGGCAGGATCTCCAGGTTTGGACTTCTCTCCTTTTTACATCGTGATGGAACCGGAGACAGAAAGCATGGGTAATACGCTTCCCCTCCAGATATCCTCTTTCTCCAGATAGGCACGACCTTCCCAACATTCTAGAATTTCCAAATCCAGAGCCATCAGCTGGGAACCAAGTGCTCCAATGCATGACCCTGTGGGTACATTTCTCAGACAAACCAGAGCACACTGTCCCCAAGCCCAAAAGCGCACAGGTACTGCACAAACCAAAAAATTTCCAGTTCACTTGAGAAGTTGCAACTCTAAAGTGTAAAGGCTCTAAAGTGTAAGAGGGACCCAAGGTCATCTCTTAACTGTGAGGCCTTATAGAAATAAAACACCAAGCATGCATTTCGCACCTACAAAGGCCCTGAGCAACATTATGCACTCTGAACGAGGGAAAGAGGGGCTGTCTCAGTTTCATCTCTGTCGCTGTGATATAAACAGCCCAACAACATCAACTTAGGAGGGCAAGGGTTTGTTTGCCTTTATTATTCCATGTGACAGCCTATCATGAGGGGACACAAGTTAGGAAGTTCAGATGACCAGGCACATCATATCTGCCATCAAGAGCAGAATCATGTCCTCAGTGTTCACATGCTTTCTCTCAACTCCATTTCTTCACTGTAGACACGTTCAACTCCCTGACCTGGGGTTGGTACGGCCTGCAGTGGCCTAAGTCTTCCCTTATCAATGGACTTAATCAAGGTATATGCAGGGCAGACAGGTCCACAGGACCCTCAAAGGTAGACAATCCCTCACTCAGACCCTCTTCTCAGATGATCCTAGGCAGGGACAAGATGACATTTGAAGTTAACCATCAGAAGCTTAATGTAGGTGAAAAACAGACAGAGGAGACATACAGACAGACCAGGGTGAAGGCAGGTCTAAGGGACAAAGAGAGCCTTCAGAGATATCCCCTGAACAAAGGGACTGTCTGACTTCCAAAGCTTTTCAGACAGGGAATGGGAAATTCCATTTGTGAACACAGTTCCAAGGAAGCAGATGCTGGCAGTGATCACAGAGTCATCTGGCAGCTATGAGGGTGAGGGGCTGGCCTTGCTTCCATCGTCTATGGGATCTATGTGCTTTCACAGCAGGGACCTGTCTGCTGCAGGGGCATAGCTTGGTTTCTGGGAGCAAGGCAAGGACAGTGCCTGAGATCTAGTGGAGCTTGGCAGCAAGCAGCTGTCAATCAGGAGGCAGGAGACTGGCACTTCATGTCCTTACAGATGTCACAAAGGAAACACAGAGCAGATATGGAAAGAAAGTGGGGCTCAGTGAGAGACCTTACACCACCTCAGAGGTCCATTTCTTCAGATAAGCCCCACCAGCCAAACACTGAGCAGTCTCTCCAAATGCATCAGCTTGGGACAAAGTGTACAAATGCATACACCTAGGGGGATGTTTCTCACGAAAGTCATAACTGTGTTCTGTAGCCACTTAGTCATTTTTAAAAATCTTCTTTTCGCTTGTCACCCACCCATTTCCACCTGCAGCAGATGAGAGACCTGTCCCTGTGAGTGGGAGAGTCAGCTCTGGTTCTCACAGGGTGTAGCACACAAGAGTGTGAGCTCTGTGCCCCATCTGGGAAGCACACAGGAGCAGACTCCATTGTGCAGGGACTCAGATGAGTATTCCCAAAGGGCGTGAGGGAGGGAGTATTCCCCACCCTCATGTGCCATACGTGGCATGGTTTGGTAAGGACACCCTCCCCCCACCCTTTGCCATCTGCAGGAGAGAAACCTGGCCCTGGGGTCACTAGTGTGAGAGGACTAGCCGTAGCCATCACCAGCTCAGCACGAGAGAACCGAGTCTCTATACCCTTCCTGGGAAGTACTCTAGAGTTGACCATGTTGTCTTGGATACAGGTGAGCCAGTCCTGGGGCTGTGAGAGCAGGTGAGCTGATCCCCTTCCCTTCCCCCAAAGGTCCCCTAAACAATTGGGAGGGAGGGGCCTGTACAAAATAGTAGACCTATTCCTGGTGGTGGGCATGTGGGTGATCTGGAGATGAGTACCTGAGAGCAGGACAACTGGCCCCACCCCTGAATTCAGGTTGTATTTGTTGAGCAAAGGAAGGCAGGGCTGGAGAGCTTGCCCCATGGTGAGATGGGAGAAAACTGGCACCTCCCATCCAGGCCGGGACCAGGGCTGTGAGTTATCGCACCCCACCGACCACCTCAACTTTCAACTGTGGTCACATGGGAAGGGGATGAGCCTAGAGCTCCAAAACAGCAGGATCTCCATGCACAGGACGAAGGCGGGATGTTAAAGAGCATCCCCAGTGAGACCCCCCAAGAGTGGTGCACCAGAGGCCAGAGGCCGTGAGCCAAACCCATGGCTCCAATGACTGCGGCAATGAACAGCTCCAAGTGAAGAAGAATGCACCAAAAGTTAAACTGTGTGACTCAACAGCTCCCAGAATAGCTTCCGTTATGACATCCTTCTCCCCATTTTTTCTTTCTGTGTGTTATGTTTGGTCTTTATTTTTCCTATTTCCTTTAGTTTTGTTTCATAGCTGGGGTGCAAGGGCAGAGGGAGGATGTAAGGGACAGGAGACAAGTGGGATAGGAATGCATGATGTGAAATCCACACAGAATCAATAAAGATAGCAGGATTAAAAATCCTCTTCTGCATGAGAAATGTGAATACACACACACACATGTATGCACATACATCTGTGGGGAGAGATCTGACACTGTGTGTATTTGTGTGTGTGTGTGTGTGTGTGTTTGTGTATTGGGTCCTGTACAAAACCTAGCAAGCTGACATTTGACAATAGACTGTCTGTGTAGCGAGCTCTGACATCTGCCTGCTTCGGCTTTGCGAATGCTTGGTTTCACTTCCCACTTTCTGGACAGGCATTTACATGGTTCTGTGGGGTCTGTACTCAGGTTCTCATGCTTGGCCTACTAAGCCATCCCCCTATGGTATGATAAATATACTTAATTGTTAGTTCTCAATTTGATGAAAAAGGAGAAAATTTAAGAGCAGACACTTCAATGTGCTCATTACAGTGAGTAAAACCCATCCTCCTTATCCGGCAGATCTTCAAGGCAGGGTCACTCATTAAGGCTCCACAGCAAGGCAGAATGTCCTTCTGACTGCTTTAAATCTGGGCCATGCCGTGCCCTCCAGTAGAAATTCTTCAGGTGTCCATGTAGACTCTGCACTTGACCTCAAATGCCACGCCACAGCAGGCATTGCAGAGCCAGGACCAGGTAGAAGGCTATCTCCTTCCTCTACCTCCAGCAGCTCCATGACCTCTGAAAAGAATTGTAGGGCAAGTACAAGGACATATCCAGTGCTGACACAATCAGTCACCAGTTCCTGTCCTCAAGGCAAGATAAAAGCCTGTGACCCCGACAGAGTAGGGAGGGATGGCGATGGCACTCAGGGCAAAGGCAGATGTGTGGCTGGCAAGACCCTGGCAGTGCCTGCCCAGGACGAGGGCACTGGGCACCACAGCATCACTGGCCCCCAACACACTGCGGCCCTTTGAAGCCATACCGCAGTACTCCAGAAACAGGTGGCTGAAGATGCTACAGATCCTGAGGGAGGAGGGCCAAGAGGGCCTGCACCTGGAGATGCATGAGGCCTTCCGGGAGCTGGGGCCCATTTTCAGGTGAGGGTCTGCTGGGCCTGTAGCTGAGCATGGACGGAGCTTCCTGGGCCCCTGCTTGCTGAGGTTCTGCAGGGATGTGGGGCTGCTGCCCTCCCCAGTAGGCACCAGGCACCCCCTCCTTAGGAAGACAGGGAGGGACCACAGGAGGTTATGAGCCTGACTCATGGAGACCATGGTTCTCCACATGGACACAGAAAGGCACTGTTCCTCACTGAGAGGACAGAGTCCCAGGAGGGCTGACGTGGAGAGGAGTCAGGCAGACAGTGGGAGAGCCCTCCTGGAGGGAAAGCAAGGGCCAGGAGAGGATGAGGCCAGGGAGCACACAGACAGGGCTGTCTGCAGGGTGCTCAGGGGGAGGGCATTCCACCCACAGGAGGGCCCTGTTTTCACCCCATAGGTACAGCATGGGAAGAACACAGGTTGTGTATGTGATGTTGCCAGAGGTTGCCGAGAAGGTATTCCAGGCAGACAGTACACAGCCCAGCCGCACGCTCTTGGAACCTTGGGTAGCCCACAGAGAACACCGTGGCCTGAGTCGTGGAGTGTTCTTGCTGTGAGTGGTCACTGGGGATGAGGAGGGAGGAGACACTATAGTCGTGAACACAGCATGCAGAACTGGCTGGGGTTAATGTCAACAGCAGTCACTACCAAGCGTTGACTGATACCATGTGACGGTGTGTGTGGGTCTGTGGAGGTGGGAGATGGTCAAATAGATGTAAGAGAAACGATGCTTCTCCATCCAATGCTTGCTCTGAGCCTGTTTTCTACAGGAGAGGAGGCAGAGCCATGTATGCTTGTATGCATGTATGCCTTGCATGTGTGTATTTGTGGTATTTAACTTGTTACTATTTTAAAGTGTGACTATGCGACGTGTCCATATACAGGGCTTCACTCTCTGAGGAATGTGTATTTCCCTCTGTGTGCAGGGCGCAAAGGGACCTAGATGTAACACAAGTTTTTGAGGTCCTGTGTGAGTGCATGTGTGTATATACATGTGCTTATGGCCACTGTCAATTGTTGCAAGTTTTAGCACACTGGAGGACAGGCTAATGTGTGTGTGTGTGTGTGTGTGTGTGTGTGTGTGTGTGTGTGTGTGTACACGAACTCCTGCCGTCAATCACTGGAGAATCTCCATGGGAACCCTGTGCCCTGGGCTGTGGTTTGTACATGTTGTAAGTGGTCCTCTGCTGTGGCCCCTGCCCTAGGGAGGACGAGATCCCTTACCTGAGACAGCAGAGGCTGGTGACTCAGAGACCACACATTGGACAGACTGACAGGGTTGGTGAGCTCAGCTGGGGCTTCTCCTCTGTGGGGAGGTGGTATAGGCCAGGTGGGCAGAGCTTGACAGCACAGTGTCCTTTCTCCATGGCTGTGGATGTGCAAAGTCCTCCTTAGACTCAGTGATCTCTGTCCAGGACATGGAAGCTGTGTTTGTAGAAAGAAGTGTGGACAGGACCAGCGGAGCCTGCCTCTGAGCCTGACACGCCTTTCCCAATTTCTTTGAGGGTTAGAAAGATGGACACGGGCCTGGGCCAGGCCTATCCTAGGAGGTATCTGTGTAGCTCTGTTCTGTGTCCTGCAGAAATGGGCCTGAATGGCGCTTCAACCGACTGAGGATCAACCCACACATGCTGTCCCCAAAGGCCGTTCAGAAGTTTGTCCCCATGGTGGACATGGTAGCACGGGACTTCTTGGAGTTCCTGAAGAAGAAGGTGCTGGTGAATGCCCATGGAAGCTTGTCAATGAACTTCTATTCCAGTATGTTCAACTATACCATAGAAGGTGTGTGGCCTGAGAAGGTTCCAGCTTGAGGGGGACCGGAAAGGCATACGCCAAGAAGCAGAAAAGGGGGACAACATTGAGACCAGGAACTGCCTATTCTCAGTGATAATATTTTCTCTGCAGCCAGCCACTTTGTTCTTTTTGGGGAGCGGCTGGGCCTCCTTGGTGATGACCTGAATTCTGGCAGCCTGAAGTTCGTCAATGCCTTGAATTCCATAATGAAGACGACTCCACAGCTCATGCTTTTGCCTAGTGGTCTGACTCGCTGGATAAGCACCCGGGTGTGGAAAGAGAACTTTGATTCCTGGGATTTCGTCTCTGAGTACGGTGAGGGCCACTGCCCTGTCCAGCACCATGGGGCAGGGGACAATGGTCACATGAGTCCCATTCACCTGCATTTCCTTCAGAGATCGGTGTCTGCTAAGGCCCTTTTCCTGTGGCTCCACAGAGAGTTTAGGGTTGTATGAGGCAGCAATGTTGGCACACAAGCAGGGAGACTGAGGTGCGAGGGACAAGATAAGCTGGGATGATGTAGGACAGGCCAGCATAATGTTCAGTGTTTTCTTCTACAGTCACAAAAAATGTCAAGAATGTGTATCAAGAGGTGCAAAGTGGTGGCCCACAGTCCTGGAGTGTCATATCACAGCTGGTAGCAGAGGGTGCTCTGACAATGGATGCCATTCTGGCCAACTCTCTGGAACTCACTGCTGGGAGTGTGGACACGGTGAGGACCCCAAGGAGCCTAACTGCCACCCTGACACCTACTGGTGTCTCCCTAAAGCACAGTACTCTCTTCACCTGGGTCATCGAAGCCATTCTGTGAGAAGGCAGGGAAACGTCTGGAAAAGGAAAGGGGATGGTATCTGGAGAGCTGCAGAGAAGGCCTACACTTCCGAGTCCAGGCGCTAGTCAAGTTAGAAAACCACGCATGCAGTACGCGACCCCTCACTTCCTCTAAGGCACGAGCATGCTGCGGGCCTAGGGGGACAGTGAGCGGCCCAGCCCCAGCGTCAGCAGGCCCCCTTGTCAATGGGAACTGGAGGCAGGTGACAGGAAACCACGGCTGAGGAAGCGGCAAGCACCCAGGCTGCCTGCCGATGCAGAAGGGAGAAGGCCGCAGTGCAATCTTGTTGGAAACATGGGTTCAGGCACAAATGTCCTGGCTGTCAAAGGAGCCTTTCCCAAGAGCCTGCTCTGGACTAGGCTTCTGGATTAGGAACCGAGGCCACAAGTCTTAGTGAAGAAAGAGCAAGAACAGAGGCCCCAAATGCTCACACCATGCAGCAGAATGTGGGAGGGAACGAGGACCTGCACAGGGCTTGTGGGAGAGAGAAACCAGAGCTGCAGGGACGGTGCAAGCAGAGATCAGAGAGTGCATCAAACGGAGCCTGAGAATCCAGAGTTGTATGCATGCAAGCCAAGGCTTGGGGAAGCAGGAAGCTACCCAAGCAGGGGCACAGGGCCTGATCAGGCCAACTGGGATCTGGTCCCCATTAGGAAGGGCCTATAAGCCACCATAAAACCAGCTTGATATGGCTAAAGCGGAGCATGGAAGCCGACTAGTGACTTCAGGGAGACACCTAAGAGACAGCTTTTGTGGGCTACAACCCTGAAAGAGGGATTTTGGATCTAGAGTCTCAGGCTCACACCAGTCAGGAGGAGTCAGTGTGTAGAGCTGTGACCCATTAGAGGGTTGGACAATAAGGACAGCGAGAGGGCATGTGGACAGTGGATAGCAAATCAGGTGACTGGGTAGGCAGAGGAGGGTTGCAGTTTCCTTTAGTGACACAGAGTCCATCTCCATGGACACCAGAGCAGGCTGTCAGCACGCAACTCTGAAAGTGCTGAGGTGTTGGCTAGGAGTGGGGTGTCATAAGGGGAGCCTTTAAGGAGGAGGTAAGGACTCTGAGGGTCCCGCTTGGCTATTGCCACACACTTCTCCTAGGGAAGGGAATCTTTAAAATACGGATGCCATTGGGAGAGTCAGGCTTGGTGTCTAAGGTTGCTCTCTGGCTCCTGCAGACATCAGTGCCCCTGGTCATGACCCTCTTTGAGCTGGCTCGGAACCCAGATGTTCAACAGGCTGTGCGGCAGGAGAGCCTGGCAGCTGAGGCCAGCGTGGCTGCAAATCCCCAGAGGGCTATGTCGGATCTGCCCCTGCTGCGGGCTGTCCTTAAAGAGACCTTGAGGTGGGTGCCGGCTGCCCTTTGCCTGCTGCCTTGCTTTCCTGCTCTCTTTTCTGGGGCTGGGGAAGCCCTTCATAGCTGGGGACAGTTCTGCTGTTTCCCGCCTCCAGGCTCTATCCTGTTGCTGTCTTTTTGGAGAGAATTCTAAGCTCGGACTTGGTGCTTCAGAACTACCACGTCCCTGCTGGGGTGAGTGATCCTCATATGCCCCCGATTGCCCTGTTCTGTATCACCTCAAAGAGGCAGCTGACCTCGCCCTCGGCATCTGCTCACAGACGATCCTCCACATGAGTCTCTACTCCATGGGCCGAAACCCTGCAGTATTTCCGAGGCCCGAGCACTACTTGCCCCAGCGCTGGCTGGAGAGGAATGGGAGTTTCCAGCACCTGACCTTCGGCTTTGGGGTGCGCCAGTGCCTGGGCAAGCGCCTGGCTCAGGTGGAGATGCTCCTCCTGCTGCACCATGTGAGCAGCCCTGGGAGGGGGCAGTGGGATGGGGGCGCTGATGGACAGTATTTGAGCTGAAAACACAGGCCTTGATATCCATCTGGGCTTCCTGTGTTTAGTGAGGTCTCCAGAGCCCGGCTAGGCCCTCGGGGCCCCACAGGAGGTCCCCTTTGCCGCATGGTGGCAGCACTGAGCGGCTCAGCAGGAGCTGGGCCAGAGCTCTGCCCTGCTGAGGAGGTCGGATGGAGCTCCCCCCTCCCTGTGTTCCAGGTGCTGAAATCCTTCAGGGTGGAGACGCAGGAGCGAGAGGATGTGCGGATGGTGTACCGCTTTGTTCTGGCGCCCAGCTCCAGCCCCCTGCTCACTTTCCGGCCTGTCAGCTAGTCAGTCAGCTTTGCAGCTGGGGTCCCAGTCAGGCCAGCAGCTCCCTCCTGTCCTGATGACAAGCTGCCCTCATTTCTACCTTGGGCCACCATGCCTGTAGCCACAGCTACCTTCTTGTCTAGGCTCTGGAGGATTACTGCCCCTCCTCTGTCAGTCCCTTCACCCCCAGCCTCCACCTCCAACTGTGATCATTCAAGTGAGCCCATATGCTGGCTTTGCTTTCCTCTCTGGTCCCAAAAATCCCTGAACCCTCTCTTAAAGTTTCTTCGTATGGTTTGCACATTGTGCAATACGAACCCAGCATCAGCAAGGACATCTCATGTCAACAGTGAAAGCCCAGGATTCACTCATGACACATTCTCATGCCTGAGGAGAGACAGAACTGGCCAAGTGTATGCTGCACACCCCAGACGTCATGTGGTGTGGCGGAGTCAGGGGCGCAGTGGATGCTCCCTGGTCAGCTTCCATTCCAGACATTGTGCCGATCTTGAGGATGCTGAGAGGGCTAAGGGCCTCAAGAATGGCCAAAACAAAAACGGAAAACAAAACAAACAACAACAATAAAAAGCCCCAACCAAACAAAAACAACTTGAGAAATGTTCTGGTAACTAAAGCGTCAGAAATTGGGTCGGCAGTCTTGTAATGGTTTCTGTACGCGTCTACTCTGGTCAACGGACAAGAGCATCTTCCGAGTCAGACATGCCTGGGGCATTTGGTGCATAACACCTTCAGCCACCATGCCCCAGTCTGCATTCAGCACTGGCCAAGGCATAGTGTCCATGCAGGGAGGGGATGTCCCCTCGGTCACAAGCCGACCCCACCACACTCCTCTCTTTGCTTCTTTCATTCTTAGCTGCCCTGATAAAATATGACCTCAGCAGACCACTAGCTTCCCCCAACACACAAGTCCAAAATGCCATAGAGCGCATCTCAGGCCAATAGCATTCCCCATCAGCCCGCCTCTGACTCTCCACTGTGCCCACCAATGGATTTTTAGTTTGCCTTGATTTGTGACTATCTTTGTTTGGTAAAACTATAAAACCCTCATGAAAACATTTCCACATGGAACCCCGGAATGTGTGAAATCTGGGCTCCTCAGCCATGGTCACTCAGATGGATCCCTCTCTTATTCACTTTAAGGTTAGAGCAGCAAGGGTGTGTGTGTGTGTGTGTGTGTGTGTGTGTGTGTGTGTGTGTGTGTGTGTGTGTTTGAGCCCATGTTCAATACTAATACTCTGGAAACAATGTCATGGTTCTGAGTCATTGTCACTCCTATTTAGGGACCTGTGAGAAGCCTCTTCTTTACATGTGGACACAGTGTTACCTTTTCCTGTAAATCATCCCTCCTTCTCTTTTGTAAATAAACAAAACCCTGGGGACGTAGATGCTAGAGTCCAGGTGCTGCTGAGCTCACACGCCCACACCCAGAGGAGCCCTTCTGCTCTCTCAACTACGGCAGGCAGACTACAGGCACATGGGTTTTTGTCCCTATCTAACTGACTTCCAGGTGTTAGGATTTATCACCTGTGGAAGTGAGTTTCCATGACAGCAGATATCGGCAGCTACAGCTTGAAGTGGAATTATGCCTCTTCAAAGAAATGACATGCATATATAAAACACAAAATATGTAGTTCTATAAAATTTATACATATATGCGTGTATATATTCTATCCAAGACCAGATTCCTGCAAGTCCAATCTCAAGTAACTCCCAGAACATAAAAAACTATAGAGATAGGAAGTGCAAATAGTCCAGGCTGGTTAGTGGGTAAGGACAGCTTAAACAGCTCTAGGCAGGGGCTGTGAATGACTCTGAAGTTTATTCTGAGAAAAAGCATTTGAAAATGGGCTATGATGATGATGGGCACAGCCATATACACAATATACAAAACTCCTATGTTTCCTGTAGAGGTAAGTTTTGTACCCACTTGGTCCCACAGCCATTCAGTCTCAAATAAGCAGACAGAGGTTTATATTATTTATAAACTGTTTGGTCTATTGCTCAGGCTAATTATTAATTCACTCCTACAACTTAAATTCACCCATTATTATTACCTGTGTTTTGCCACTTGTCTTGGAACCTTCCTCAATAAGGCGTTCTCACCTTGCTTCCTCTGTGTATGGATGGCTACTGAGTCTCTGCCTTTTCTCTTCCCAGAATTCTTCTAGTCTTATTGCTACACATGGACTTCCTGGCTGGCTACTGGATAATCAGAGTTTTACTAACCCAATGCAATAGACAGAACTTTACAGTGTACAGGAGCATTATCCCACAGTATTTTACATATTAAATGGGTGACTGGGGCTTCTTGTGATTTGTAGCTTACAAAGCCATAAAAACATAATGATCAATATAGGCCCAAAACAGGCATGGAGCCCTCCTGTGTGTTATGACATTGATGGCACCACTCAAAAAAAATCCAGATGTAAACCCACAAAACTCAGCGGGAAAGGTGACACTGCTGGTTCTTGTCCTTTGGATGTGATACTAAGCATGGGGGCTCCTCAGTCTGCATGCTCTTGCAGTGCTAACTTGCAAATGTGATTGACCTTTACAGGTGTAGACTTCCTGAGCATGGGTAGCCATAACCCTTTCTGTTAAGGGCCTTGTAAACAAAGACCGAGGAGTTCCTGATGTGGGATTTTCCTTTGCACACTGTACCCTAGACACCATGTGCTTCTAGATTGTGAGTCAAAGAATTTGGACTCACATCAGCCATGTCAGACCAGACGGAACTAAACCCAAGCCTGTGCCTTGGCTCACAAATTTAGAATAAGACAGACCTATCATTGCCAATTCTTTTTCTTTTGTTTTGTTTTTGGATTTCAAGAAATAGTTTGTCTGTGTAATCGTGGCTCTCCCAGAACTCACTCTGTAAATCAGGTTGGCTTCCTACTCACAGAGATCCTCTGCCTCCATCTTCAAGTGCTGGGATTAAAAGCATGTGATGCCACTACCATATCCAGAGGCAATTCTTCCAGATACATCTCTCTGTCTATCTCACTGATTCTATGCCCCTCTCTGACACACTGTGTAGCTGTGTTAGTGTGCATGCCTATGCACACTTCCTGAGCATTTTAGACATGAAGAGAACACACACCAAAATACAGCCACATGCATGCAGACATATACAGAAACTATAAATGTAATAAAAATTTGAAATTTAGCGGAGGCTGCCAGGACTTAGCCATGGGTAAGATGCTGTCACCTCAGTGAAAGCAATGGTTGTGGGAGAGACAAGCCAGTTGCCGAGGAATTTGTCCCACAGCATAGGGAATAAAGAGACATGACTGTCGGGCCCAGAGGTTAATGTGCCACTCCTTCAGAAGCACTGTTTCTGTTCCCTTCTCCCATGACCCGAGGACTGAAAGAAACTAGCAATTACTCTGGTCATGGGAGCTTGCTGGGACCTGTCTTTTTCTCCTTTTTAAAAATATAAATTAGCAACAAGCTTGTTTTACATGCCAATCCCAGTTGCCTCTCCCTCCCCTCTTCCCCAGCCTACACGGCTCACCTTTCTGTTCCCCAGGGAGGATGAGGCCTTCCATTGGGGATCTTTAAAGTCTGACATATCATTTGGAGCAGTGTATAGGCCCTCCTCCGTGTGTCTAGGCTGAATGGGCTTCCAAAGGCCATTCGTATACTATGGATAAATACTGGTTCACTATCAGAGGCCCCATAGATTGCCTATGCCTCCCAACTGACAGCCATGTTCAGGTTCGGTCCTATGCTGATTTCCCAGCTATCAGTCTGGGGTCCATGAAGTCCCTGTTGTTCACATCAATGAGGGCTGTCTGGCGGTGACATCTGCCACCCCACTGAACGCAAGGGTTGATTCGGCTGATCTGGCTGGCTAGGTGGATGTCAACATCCTCCCTCACTGCTCCATGTGCGTCCATCCTGAAGCTGGGTGCTCTGTCAAAAAGGACAACTTTCCCTGAATAGAGGAGGACTGGTCTTTGGTCAAGGAGCTATGCTCCCCCTTAGAACCTTCAAACAAGATGAGACATTTCTTATCAGACTACACACTGACTGGCATCAGAACACTTCTGTCTTTTGTTCAAAACACTCATATGCCAAGACTGCCTGATGTTTTGGACCTACCAAGTGAGATGAGTATTTAGCCTACTGTGTTTAAAGGGTGCCAAGCACTCAAACCATAATCCCACAAAGGAACTCTTAAGGATATAGAAGAGGAAGGAGCTGGTCTGAGTAGAGAGCCCAGGTTGAATGCTCCCAAACAGAAAAAAAACAGGCAAGGGTATTTTCAGCAAACAGCACCTTTATTTCTTTCTTACAACAAGCTATGAACAGGCCCAACAGATGCCCGGAACACTGTCTCTGCTTCACAAGGTAGCAATAAAGAGCAAAATTGCTTACAATTATGGGAAGACGATTACACCACACAGAGGGTTTCTCAGGCCATTATGCTGCTGCAGAGGACTAAGGAAAGACTCAGGAGAAGGTTGGGCTCACCCAGACACACAGCTCTGGCAATCACAGATTCCTCAATCACAAGAAGAGGTAACAAGTCCCTCTCTACATTAGTAGGTCCTACATCATTGCAAAGAATGCCTGAGCAGCAGTTGGAATAGCAGAAGTTATTGGTGCTTGGAAGCCGTCTTGTTAAAACAGTTGGGGGAGGCTGAACCAGCACAAACAGGCAGGTCTGCATGCAGTGTTTGTAGACTAAGAGCTCCCGAGAATTCATACCTAGAAAGGAAGCCATCTGGAGAATTATCACCATCATCTTCATTGTAAACCTAGCACCACTGTCAGCCAAACCTAGCCACATGGCTCATGGCTTGTAAACCCATGTTCTACATTCCATGCTTCCTCCTCATCTAGCTGGTGATTCAACCCATCTTCTCAGTATCCCCTCTGCCTTGAAAATCCTGCCTAGGTATTGGCTTTTCAGCATTCTATTGGGCCAGAAGAAGTGACGTTTGTTCAGACTACACAAAAATATTATTCCACAAAAAACATTGTCAAGAATGCTTGATAGAAAAGAAAAGATACAGGTATCCAAGAGAGTCTGACTGCTCCAGTACCATATTCTACACTTACTGTCTATGCATCGATACCATCGTTATGTCAGTCACTGTCCCTGCCCAGTTGACAATTTAGTCTCAGGACACACAGCAATGCTAATGAAAAATCTTCTTCAGTGCTGGTTCCAATATTATGCTAATAGTATGTTACCAAGGTCTACAATGAAACAAAGGGGTAAATGAGATGGCTCAGTGAGGAAAGTTGCTTGCCACCTGATTCTAGTGAGCCCCGTTCCCAACAAGCCTTCTTATAACCATAGTCAGCTCTAGGTGGAGTCTCCTTCCATACAACAGAGTGGGAGTCTTGAGACCATACTTGCCTTTCCTTGGTTGGATGGCAATGCCCAACCCAGGGGTACTGTTGTACCACACACTGGTGCTGTTGTCACACACTGGTGTTGTCACACACTGGTGCTGTTGTCACACACACTGGTGCTGTTGTCACACACACTGGTGCTGATGTCACACACACTGGTGCTGATGTCACACACAATGGTGCTGATGTCACACTCACTGGTGCTGATGTCACACACACTGGTGCTGATGTCACACACACTGGTGCTGATGTCACACAC